TCAAGAGCGCCATCAGACGCTCAACGGATCCCAAGATGGCGCGGTGAATCAGTACGGGCGTCACCACGCCGTTCTGCTCCAGCCCTGCCGCGTCAACTTCCTCCAATGGCACGCCCTGGGCCTCTTGTTTTGGCGCAGGTGCGCTATACTCAAGCTCGAATCTTTGAGGGAGTTGGAAGTCGAGCTGAATGGTGCCAGCCTGGTGAGACTTCCCGTCAGAGTCACGCAACATGACGTCGATCTTTGGACCGTAGAATGCGCCGTCTCCCTCCTTGATCGTGTACTTCAGCCCAGCCTGCTCAAGAGCATCGCGCAGCTGCGCCTCTGCGCGCTCCCATTCTGCATCGGTGCCGATGTAATGATCCGCCGGTCTGGTAGACAGCGCAAAATCGAAGTAATCCAAGCCCAGGGCCCCGTATACAGTCTTCATGAAGTCGAGCGTCTTGAAGACCTCTTCCCTGATCTGGATCGGTCGGCAGAAGATGTGGCCATCGTCCTGGTGGAAACGTCGCACGCGCGTCAAGCCACTGAGGGCACCCGAGACCTCGTTCCGGTGCAAAGGACTGAAGTCGGCGTAACGGATGGGAAGATCGCGATAGCTGCGGTTCTTCGAGGCGAAGATGAGGCAGTGTCCAGGGCAGTTCATGGGCTTGAGGCCATAGTCTTGGTCCTCGCCCTCCGCCAGTCGACTCTCAGCACCCTTGCCCTCCTTGGGGGCCTCTCTATCACCACAGCAGCTCGTTGCAGCAGCCTCGGGGGCGCGCGCACGGCTGGTGACGGTGTACATGTCGTCGGCATAGTTTTGCAGGTGGCCTGACACCTCCCAGAGGGACTTTTTGTAGATATTCGGTGTGATGACCTCGTCGAAGCCGTAGTGGGTGTACTGCCGCCGCAGAAAGTCCACCAGGCGGTTGAAGACTCGCGTGCCGTTGGGGAGGAAGATTGGAGAGCCGGGGCTGTAGACGGACGTGGTGAACAGCTCCTGCTGGACGCCCAGCTTGCGATGGTCATACTCGTCGGGGCTGTCCGCGGGCGCGGCGGGTTTCTTGTCGGCGTACCATCTCTTTGGTAGCGGTTGAGGTCTCAGTGATGCATTTCGCAGACTCGGGATCACTCGAAGGGCTGGTCGGATAGCCCGTGCGGGAAGCATGGCGCAAAGTGTCGCCAATTGGACGTCATGCCATTTGACACAGGAAAGTCTGAAAGCTCGCGAAATTGTGATGCTAGGATCTTGCAGCTCCGTCACACAAGCACGCTAGCGTGGAAATTCCCACAGGGGGGCAGCACGGACCATACCATCGCTTATCTTATCAGCACTTGTTCCGGGGCCATTATCCCAGATTCCCATGGCACCACCCTCATCTCGCAAGCAGCAAGCATCGTTTAGACGGACATCTCGCCGTTGCATCTTTTGCATCTTTGAGATGGGATTCCAATGGATCTCGTCAACGCCTTTTTGATCTGGAGTCGAGATACCAGGGGAGTTAGGGGAGTTTAGGATCCACAGTCCGACTGTGTCAGTCGCTCTTACGGTCGGGGAGTTAGGAACCACTGCCGGGAGAACATGCAGCACTGGATCTGAGCATCAGTCAAGCATCACCTGCCCCGAATCAGACGGTTCCAATTTCAACGACATTCAGGAAAGCTATGATATGGCTGGTGTTGATTCAGAGGCTCTTGTCAGAAAGGGACTCCGCATGAAGGAGAACTCGAGACAACAAGCTTCGGAGCTAAGCCTCCAACCTAGTCAACGGTGGACTACTGGCACACCTTGTCGTCTAAGAAGCGCGCATCTTGGCTTTGAACCTCGGCCACGTGAGGCTTCCTAATCGCAAACCAATGATATCTCGTAGCAACTGGTCCAGCTTGCAGAAATCGATCGGCTGTGTGACATGCCTCAGAGCTTGCTTTTGATAGTGTAATTACTGAAGAATTCCCCGCAGATCTTTATCAGCCAAAGATGCATGTTCAACCGTTGATCTTAAGGATCGTCGTTTGTTGACCCAAAGCGGGAATGTTAATTGAACTAGTCAACCGATAGTCTTCGTAGAAAAGAGGAGCATTGGGGCGACGAGCCACGTGTTGGCACCCATGAGGCGGCACATCGGAAACTTCACGGCGATACGGCTATAGCATATACACTGAGTTTGGAGAACTTGAGCTCTAGGAGTGTAATTATTATTCTATTTTCGCTGTAGAAAAAGCCTAGTTTCGGTAGGTGATCGTCTTCGTCCTCACCCACTCGTCCAAACCTATCGAGTTAAATCTACCAAAGCCGCTAGACTTGACTCCGCCGTGGGGCAGACCGCTCTCGTCGTGGACAGTCATGTTGTTGATGTGAACAGCGCCGGACTCAATCTCCTTGGCGAAGCGAAGTCCGGTCCGCAGGTTCTCGGTAAAGACGGCAGATGTCAGGCCGTACTCGGTGTCATTGGCAATCTTCAGCGCCTCCTCCTCGGTGTCAACCTCGAAAAGTGACACTGAAGGCCCGAAGGACTCGGTCTTGTAAATGTCCATCTCGGTGTTGACATTCTTGATGACGATAGGGCGCATCCTCGTCTTGGAGACTTCCTCTGCCTCGACATTGCCCGCAACGACGGCGGCGCCTTTGCCAACGGCGTCCTTAATGAGCTTCTTGTTCTTCTCGACGGCAAGCTGGTTGATGAGCACAGGCGCGTCAGCCTCTGATGAGAAAATCTTGCTGATAGACTCGGAGAGCTTGGCCTGGAACTGCTCGGAGACCTTCTTGTGCACAATGATGCGTTCTGTGCTCATGCAGATCTGACCTCCGTGGAGGAATGAGCCAACGGCACATTGGCCGGCTGCGAGGTCGAGGTCGGCATCCTCCCACACAATTGCCGGGGCCTTGCCGCCGAGCTCGAGCAGTACGGGCTTCAAGTGCTCTCCCGCCTGCTTAGCAATGATGCGGCCGACATTGGTGCTGCCTGTAAAGTTGATCTTCTTGATTTCGGGATGCGCAATGAGTGACGAGGTGATGACGGCGGCGTTGGCGGGCTCATGGACAATGACGTTCAGAACACCCTTGGGCAGACCAGCTTGGTGAAGGCAGTCGGCCATTTCGTACATCACCCGCGGGGAAAGCTCTGAGGCTTTGAAGACGGCGGTGTTTCCGGCAGCGATTGGGAACGCGATCGCTCTCGCGCCCAAGACATAAGGCGCATTCCTGCCAGCGGGGTTAGCTAAGACGTTGTTCATGCCGCGAAAAGGGTGGCGTACCAAGGGGCAATGGCGAGCACAACACCATAGGGTTCCTTCAGAACCATGGCGCTCACGTCCGGATCTCTGGTTGCGGGGACAGTACCCTCAACGGTCACAAGACGTCCGGCGACGTCTCTGAAGCAGCCAATACCGAGGCCGAGGATGAAGTCGGACCAGCCCTTGGCAGCACCAGTCTCGTCGCACATGATTTTCGACAACTCCTCCTTGCGGCCATCCATGATATCGGCAGCCTTCAGGAAGATGTCTCTGCGCTCGTTGGGTGTCGTCTTGCGCCAGCTCTTGAAAGCCTTTGCGGCAGAGTCAACCGCTGCGATGGCATCCTTCTCAGTGGCACTTCCGCACTTGTGAACAGCTTTGCCAGTAGCAGGAGACACTACTTCGAAAGTCTTTTCAGGGTAGACCTTCTCTCCGTCGATGAGGAAAGGGACGGTGAAGCCTCCCGAGCCATTGGTTGTGTTCGTCATGGCTGAACTTTAATTGTGAGGTATGTCGACGGAGAGGCGAAAGAGGGTTGAAGGAGGCCTTGAGAAGGAGTGAGATAGTAAATGTTACAGGACGACTTTGTACAGCTACATGAGCAAGGAATTCAGCCTGATTCTTATAGAGCTCTCCGAACTAGCCACTGATCGACATGGAACACTTTGCGTGCCCTTTGGACCCTTGCCCTTTCGACATGCCGAAGTTCGAAGCCACGCCTAGTGCACGGAACCCCGCACTCGGAAAGTGGGCACGGCGAGAAACTCTGAGACTGCCTAGCCATGTGCTTCTGACTTCGCATTCCTAAAAGGACCGTCGTTACCAATTTGCTTCCGAATCCTTCAGCACAGTTGGGCGATTCCCCCGGGCGAATCCCAGCCGGGTGTGGGATCGGGGGGAGGTACGGACAGGGACCCGGAGTGGACCCGTCGATTTTGTGTGACCAGTTGGTTCGCATCGCCGGCCGGAAGCCCGCGTAGGTATCCGTATGTGTGCTGTGCCGCTGTTGGAGGGGCCCATCAAACAGATTCCTTGTCCAGGACCGACATTTCTGCAGCGTATGCGCAGCTGAAACTCTGCAGTGCCCCTAGCGACGGTCGTAATAATTGCTCGTCCAATCATTGACTGAAAGTGGTCAGAGATACTTGAATTATCGATGGGTGGCGCGATCTCCCCGAGATGCTCGTCCGCAACGATACAAATGTCCCAATTCCAACTGCTTGGCACCGGTGTCTTGTTTCCTTGTGAGTGGGTCTTTTTGGAGTATTTAGGAGTTAAGCCGGAAGCAACCGAGGGCCAGTGGAAGGTGGGATTCCGAGTCGCCCTTGGGGACACAATGCCCGCGCGATTGAGTCGCGGGACCACCCTGCTGCCTCCGAGTTTTCGGCGAGGGTCACCACAACATGGAATTTGCATCCATGAAACCAAGTCCGCATCTTGGTGTTATGAGGGTAAATCGACCCTGGCACGGCGAGAATCTGAATGAGACTGTCGCGAAGTGAGACCTGCCGGTGGATGGAAACCTGACCGGCTGCGACCGCTTGATACGCGGCTCGTATCGCAAATGCATTTGATAGTCACACAATCGAGCGTTGATTCGGCATGGTAGCGGCGCTTTGTGTACCTCAGGGCCACATTCGCCCACGAGATGCTGTGGCGTCAATACCAAGTGAAAAGAGAGAAGAAGGGTCTCCATTTGCGCTTCGTACGATGCTGAATGGCTGCAGGTGACTTTGTTCTCATGCGGGAAGTGCGCTTGCACTTTTGGGCAATAAAAAGCCGGATTAAGACTGTTGTGACTTTTTGAGCACTGTTGGGTCAAGAAAAGGCTGAGGCACTGCTGTCGTATCTACTTGAATAACCTCAACTGCAGCCGTTAGATTTGGTTTTCGTTTCTCGCCTGCGATAGTAGCACCTCACCTGGCTTCCGTCGGGATGCAGATCCAGGGACGGCAAAATGCACGTCACGAGTTCCTCTGCGAGCTTCCGTGTATGATCCGCTTCCTTGGTAAACTGGTGGCAGTGCAAGTTCGATTTTCCTCGGGGTCTTCCCTGCCTGCTTTCCGGCTTGCTCGGACATGATGTTTGAATTGTGGTAGTTTCAATGCTCAGGTTGGGAGGCGGGGAAGTAGAGATGAGGATAGTGCAGTGCAGTCCCAAGTTGTCGGTATTGCTAACCAAGAAATCAAGCGAAGGTTTGAGCTGGGAAAAAGCAGGCACGAGTCAGACCTCGGAGGGGATTCAGGGTCAAACAAAGCCGTTCGTCTGATGGGATTGTCTGCTCACGAGAGTTCTAGCTACCTTGATGCATAGCTCCATCGTCCAATACAACTGGCGGGCTGCGAGTGTGGGTCCATCCTCGAGTGCTTAGTCACCGGGCCCATTATTTCCAACCGCAACTGCACTTTTCGACCAGTCAATTCCAAGTGTTGCGCTGCCAGACAGGACAAGTGCACTGTGGACATGCGAATTGACACCCGCAGTTTCCACTTTTGGTTTCTGTGCTGTCACGGATGGAGCGCTTACGCTTGGCACCAGAGCAGGAACCAGCGGAGTCGTGGAACTGTTCTCCAGCTGCATTACGCGGTAAAGGCCGGGCAGGGTGGATATCTGGAGGGATGGGATAACGATATCGGAGGGCGAAGTCGGTCGCAATGGACGTAATGACGTCTCTGGCTATCGATGCTTATCCTTTTTGCCCGCGAGTTCCTGGGCGTGTCATACATGTCTGTGCACTGGCTTCCAGCCACGAGCAGCGGTGGCAGGTGCCCAAGTCTATCTCGGTGAGAATCGGGTGCTAATCCTCCGACGGACACCATGCCGTTTGGGGAAGCTGACAGGTGCGAACGGCTTCCATACCGGTTCTCGACCCCGCCCGCTGCAGAAAGCTGCAAGCGGGGAAGCGAGGACTCAGCAGCCCAATCCAGCCAATCACGCACCGCGTACCAGCCATTCGCTCTCCATCAGCGCCCCCAAAGAAAGCCATCCAACGGCCAAAAAGAAACAGCGAGTGGGAGTCAGACGCACCCCAAGTCCCTTCCTTATCCACCGGGCCACCGCAAATCTCTTGCCTCGCTCTTCAGGTCAAAATTGTAAACTTCCCCGCCCTCCGCATTCGGCCACACCAGCTCCCACCTCACATCAACAATTCAACACACTCGTCGCGACACCGGACCGCCGCCCCAGTGAGCTTGAGCTCAGCTCACCATTCGAGAGATCTCCGATTGCCGAGTCGTTCCTGCGACCTCCGTTCGCACCTCACGCCACGCCCGGCCCGGGAGGGGTCCCCCGATCCCGCCTGTGCTGTGTCTGTGTCTTGTCTTGTCTCAGCGCGACCGACCCTCCGCCCTCCGGTGCCCTGCATGGACGGTCCGGCCATAATATCTGCCGGCGGGGCCACGCCCGTATCGCCCACAAGCCCCGTGAGCGCAAGGCATGCGAACAACGGTCCTCCCAAGCGGAAGCGTAGCAGCATGGCCCTTGATAGTAGTCCCGGTAGCAATGCTGGGAACGACGACCACGACGGCGAGCCTGACTCAAAGAAGCGCCAGCCAGGTGTGAAGCGCGCCTGCAACGAGTGCCGCCAGCAGAAGGTGAGTCACCACAGCATCACAACAGCGGGAAGAGTCACGTAGCTAATGAGACTCCAATTGGAACAGTTACGATGCGACGTCATACAAGATCCTTTCCAAAGTTGCTCAAGGTGTAATCGTCTCAAGCTCGAGTGCAAGATCGAGTCAAACTTCAAGCGCATTGGAAAGCGTAGTAAGCATGCCGAGATGGAGAAGGAGATCGAGAGGTTGCGCCGCAACATCGCACGCGCCCAAAACCAGGGCTACACCGTCGAGGATGACCAGGAGGACCTCCAGTCCCCTATTGCGCAGAGCGTATACACACACACCCGGAACCCGTCCCTCATGGGCTCCGATGAGGCTGTCTCCTCACTGTTACATTTGAAAAGAGGAGGATCCTACAGCTTGCCACGATACACCCACGAGCTGGAAAACGTGCGATTGACCGAAGACTCGGTCAACCAGCTCTTCCACGAGTTCTTCGCTTACTATCATCCGTTTCTACCATTCCTCAGCCCGACGCAGTCGCCCGATCAATACTTTCAGCAGCATTCCCTGCTTTTCTGGTCTATCATTTCGGTCGCAGCCCGCAGATATAGTGCAGATACGCACCTCTTAACGTCAATATCTGGCCCTCTGACGCGGCTGTTGTGGTCCACTATTGGCGATGTGCCCAGCAGCTACTTCGTCGTCAAGGCTCTCTGCCTGCTGTGCACGTGGCCCCTTCCCACGAGTACAACCAGCGCGGACCCTACGCATATCCTGTGTGGTGTCATGATGAAGGTGGCGACCGGCATTGGTCTTCACAGGCCAAACCACAGCCAAGACTTCTCTCGCGTGTCTGTGGATCTCAACAAGGAGCAGCTTCATGACCGCGTTCAGACCTGGGCCGTCTGCAACATTGTCGCTCAAAGCATAGGTACTGGCTACGGCCAGCCTGCTTCGACTCTCTACGATTGGACCTTGGCCGTTCGACGGGGTGAGGACGGGCCATTCCGACTGACCCCTGAACTCGAGGCCAGGCTTCAAGTCGAGAGATTTTGTGACAAAGTCTCAAAAGAGATGTACAGCAATGCCAGTGATCCGAGAGGAGTTGCCGGAGACGAGCATCGAGCCATGTTGATGAGAGTTTACCGTAAGGACTTCAACGAACTGCAAGCTTCGATCCTCTCCCAGCATCTGGGTCCTATCGTCAACTTGCATATGAGAGCTGCTGCTCTTCACTTGCGATTGGCTGGCTTTTTCGACTCTAGCACAACTCCTGGATATATTGATGACTTGATGGGTCTCTGGAGAGCAACGACAAGTTTTCTCGATAACATCTTAGAGGTTGACAAGGTCACATCGCCTGGGCAGAACTCACCCGGGCAGATTCTGCTCTACGCAACAAACTACATCCAGCAGATGTTGATAGCGGCCGGCTTCGCTCTCCTGAAGCTCATGCGATCCTTCTTTTCGAAGACGATCGACTTTGACCGGGGGCGCAACCTATTTCACCAGACCATCAACGCCATTCGCGCGACAAGCGTCGTGAACAATGATCTTCAGTGGCGCCTCGCCGAGCTGATGGTGCAAATGTGGAATGGAGCCCGACTCGACAACAACCAATCCTTCGACAATGATGATTCTCCGCTTCTCATTGACGATACACTGCAGCTCAAGGTGCGATGTCGCCATAGCATGAGTCTTGTTTTTGACTCCGTCTGGAGATGGAGAGAAGAGTATCAGGCCCAAGGTAGAGGGTCACTCGATGGTAAAACCCCCAGCCCCTTCTCCCCTTTTGCGCCCTAGCCATTGCATCCAGGTCTCTGCTTCGGTGTGACTGTGATGACTGACTTACGTGCCTCCCCAAATAGCCCTGAAGCAGCCTACTAATCCAGACTCAGCGAACGAGTCCTCGGCGTCATCGACCCATTTGGACAGCACTCTTATGCCGGCAACCCAAGGACTGCAAGCGAACAGCATGCTCGCTTCCAATGGAGCCCTCACCCCAGGAGCCTCCGGTGGACTCGGAAACCAGTCCACGAACAACATGCTGGGCGGCATGAGCTACGGCGAATCGAATTACGACTTCTTCGATCCGCAACACTGGATGCTGGACGGCCTCCTGGACTTCAGCTATAACTTTGTGCAGCCTGTCGAGGGCGCCTAGGATGTCCCCATTTGAAATCAGTATATTTCGTACGCACACGTCGTTCATCAACGGCATTCATAAGGCTCGTGGGGCAAAAGGAGAACGCCCGCAGATTGGGGGCGATGTTTCAAAGCTGCACACGGCTTGAATTCGCAGCTTGTCAAACTGGGGTGAGTAAACGCCCCTTGGCAGACGTTGCGATGGGCCCCCTCTTGGGGTCCGGGGATACAGTGACTAGGTGTGCAGCTCTCGGCGATCCTTCCGCACTCCTAGGTGAGCGATATCGTCGTTTCACGATGATCGTGCCCCCCCGAACATACATCATTGGTGCCCAAAGGCACGTATTCTTCCTGTTACGCTATGCCTGCCACTGCTGCCGGTACCCCCAGAATGAAAACCATTCTCTACCCAAGTTCGGCGTCATGCGTCTGTGGTTTCATTGATTGGTATGTCACTGTTGGAGGTGACAATATAATCACGCATAGTCGACGAATGATCCCCACGACATGATGAGTCGACGTCGGGTTGCGGCTTCTCTGCGGGCGGTCGTTATTGTTTTGTACGTTTCATCGTTTTCTTTACTTTCCTCGAGTCCCCTCTCAGGGAGGTCACCCTGTATTTGTTTTCGTTTCTTTCTGGGAACCATCGAAGCATTAGCAACGGCGGGAGCAGGGCCTTTTCCCCCCATGGGTACACACTTGATTCGTCAAATATGATGTAGTTAGCTGTAGCGTTATTGAATTCCACAATGTTTAATTCAAAGTCGTTCCGACCTACCTGGACCAATTCCATCAAAGGACTGGTTGCTTAGTGTTCTCTGTGGGAGATGAGGGTGAGACATGGCTGGGTCACCCAACGGTTAACCCAACGACACCGCACCCGTGACGTGAGTCAAATGGGGACGTTTGCCGCATCCGCGTGACGACGATGTAGAGCGAGGGGGTCGGTGAAGGGAAGGGAGACGCGAGGTCCGCGGCGGTGACTCAAGTCATGATTGACAGTATTCCCAACGACATGTTGGTGTTTGGTGCCTGTCAAAGGAATCCTCACCGACTGAGTAAGTCCAAAATTATCAGCCAGTCACGCCGAGCTATGGACATGCTGACTCGACTGTTGCCGGAAGGGCGTGACAGACAATCATCCAAGGGGGAGGGGAAATCCAACGGACGATGGTCGTGGAGTTTGTACAGATCAGAGGCCCCTTTGATTAAGGAGGAACAACGGGCCACGATCGAGGGCGCGTGATTCGCTCGACAACGAGGAGTTTCCAATCTGCCGAGACATCACCATCACGAAGTTTGCAGAGTGGGTTGAACTCTATTGCTCACATCGAGGTCGTGGCCGTCCGGACATTTGGCCTCTGCGATTTGTCCC